AAGCTCTTAGATTATTCAGGCTCATTACTTGAGTGGCTGTTTTGATGGAGATCATATATAGAAATATAGTAAAGGAGGATTTGACAGAGTAGAATTAGAAAGAGTTCCATTTAATTTAGTTGGACTTCTAGGCATCAATAAAAGTATCTGCATAGGTAAGGGGTAGGCTGCCAATATGAAATAGGATTTACAATCACATTGGAGATTTAAGAATCAAGAAAATGGAAAGAAAAAATATATTGACATTTAAAAGATGAGAATCAAGTATGAAATTAAGAGATATTAGAAATTAGAATAAGAGGATGGGAAAGAAAATCCAGACCTAATAAAATATTACATTGTGAACAAAGAAACCGTAGACAATTAAACTGAGAAAAGAGCACTGTCAATAAATTATGCTAGAACTATGTGACTTACACATAGAAAGTTGTATAATTGGACCCTATCTCACAAATGTACAAAGAAGTTTCCACATTAATTATAGATCTATGTTTAAAGGATGAAAAATAAATCTTAGAATAAAAATAGGCATTAATGTGCATGACTATATGGCAAAACTGTATATGTTCTTGGGTACAACACCAAAAACACAAGTAACAAAAGAAAGCAAAAAATTAAAATGAAATGTCAGTATGTTGACATTGAAGCTTATTGGCTAAAGCTGCTGTTTGCTTCCTCAGCATCCCGCACAGGCCATAGTTGAAGTCCAACTTGCTACACTTCCCATCCAACTACTGTTAGTGCACCAGAGAGGGCAGCTGACAGTGGATGAGTGTGTGGGCTCCTTAATCCATGTGGGAAGCCCCACAGAAGCTTCTAGATCCTGACTTTGGTTTAGTACAGCTCTGGCTGCTGTACCCACTTCAGGATGATCTCTCCCTCTCTCTGTCTCCCTTTATGTAATTCTACCTTTCAAATAAATAAATTAATCTTTTAAACAAAACTATAGTCATCAAAATTTGAACATTTTGTGCTCCAAATGACACTATTAAGTAAGTGCAAAGAAAATACATAGAGCACAAAAAAGTCAAATTTCACTTTAAAAACACATCCAAAAGCATAAAGAGAATTCTTATAATTCAGACAATTCACCTAAATCAATTAAATAAACAAAGAGCTTAAATAAATATACTGTATCTCGAAACATGTACTTGGATAGTTAATAAAATTCACGAAAATATGCTGAAGATGTTTAGAAAATACAAATGTTTCGATGTTTAGATGTCTAGAAAATGCAAATCTAAACCAAAATAGGTGCAACTTCTCATCAGTCAGGATATCTGTGTCAGTAAGTGAATTGAAAACCTGAAAATAGGGCCCTGCGCAGTGGCGCAAGTGGTTAAAGGTCCTCGCCTTGCACGCCCGGGATCCCATATGGGCGCTGGTTCTAATCCCGGCAGCCCCGCTTCCCTTCCAGCTCCCTGCCTGTGGCCTGGGAAAGCAGTCCAGGACGGCCCAAAGCCTTGGGAACCTGCACCCGCGTGGGAGACCCAGAAGAAGCTCCTGGCTTCGGATTGGCATAGCATTGGCCCGTTGCGCTCACTTGGGGAGTGAATCATCGGACGGAAGATCTTCCTCTCTGTCTCTCCTCTCTGTATATCTGCCTTTCCAATAAAAAAATAATAAAAATAAATCTTTAAAAAAAAAGAAAACCTGAAAATAATAGGCATTATAAAGAATTAAAAAAAAAAAAAACCTGTCACTCTCGAATGCAAGTATACATCAAAAGGTTTAACTAAAAATGGAAACAAAAGTTTATTTTTGTGTAAAAATTTTGGAATTCATGCATACCAGGGGACTTCAAAATATAATGAAAAATTCAGTTTAAAGTGTACTTTGGAAAGAGAAGGAAAGAGAGAAAAAGCAAGAGAAAGAGAAGAAAGGCTGGAAGAGAAAGAGAAACAGAGGATGAAAGAGAGAAAACATCCATAATCTCACCCACTCAAGTGCATGCAATGATTTCATTTCATGCATCCCCCACTTTGGGAAGGATTCCTGCTTCTTGGGGTGCTGTTTCTCAAAGTCTATGTTAGAACCTGGAATGGGGTATAAATACTGAGATTTGGGATGTAAGCATATTAACTGCTAGGACACAATTTGCTCTGAAAATAAATATTATTATTAAAGCAAACAAAACCCCTGTGTGGGCTTCAGAAATTTTGCATCTAAATAAACTCTGTGTGTGTCTTTCAGAAAATAAAAATTAATCAATAAGCATTTTAAAATAAGCAGCCTCTGTATTTCCTAATTCCATTGCAGTATGAAGACATAGTGAACTAAAAGGGCTCTTTTGATGTTCATCAAACCTGGGTAGAGTTTGTGCAAACAACATTTACTGAGTTCAGCATTGAAATACAGAAACAGGGAAGTGGTTTCAGCTCGCTGAATCTGTGGCTCTCACAACTATGTCTTTAAAATTCACATATCAGCTTTTTGAAGCCATAATATCAATAATGAATTTTGGGTTTCTTTGGGACAGTATAGACAGAGTATCATGGGTGCACAATGCTCATGGCCCTGAAATCCCCAAAGAATAAATGACTTTGCTGAGAAGCACATATGTATTTGAATTGAGAATAATTCAACCCTCCAGTCTGTGGGAGTTTCCAAAATCTCACACTCCCCATCCAAGATGCCCTTCCCTAATGCTCTCAAGTCCTTCAATGTTAGATACTTCTATCTCTTTTTCTCACTTTCTATATTTCTTGACATCAAAAATGCACCAAAGCCTAAACATATACATATATATATATATATTTTTTTTTTTTTTTTTGCTTTTTAACAGGTGTTCAAAATAGAGGCAGAGTAAAACTCTGAGTCACAAACTAAGCCAAATTCCTATTGATATTTCACTGTCTTGGCTTACAATTCCAGGTAGTTTGAATCTTGTTTTGTATTCCCAAGTAACATGTAATCAAATGAAGGTTGGGCAAGTATTTATTTGCATGATTATAAAATTGTATTTCCCCCAGGAATGTGTGTTTTGAAGTTACGCAGATTAAAATGAAAGGCCAGATCCACTATGAAGTTCCTTAGATGCCTTGAGCAAGCTATTTGACCTCTCTATCCGTGTACTGCAACAGAGGATGGAAATGACTACCATACGTAGCTCCTCTGTTGATTAAGAAACAACACAAATTTGTTCAATAAAAATGTGTTCTACAAATATGTTATTTTCCAATGCAAGCATGTTTTTAATCCCTCAGTAGTTGCATACCCTTTTTGAGTCTGCAACTCAAATAATTCATCAGTCCCCTAAAGTTAGCCAGCAATCTACATTCGAAAACTCTGGCAAAAAGCGAAGCAGACGACACTTTCCTTTGGACTCAGGGTTCTGTTTTTGGCAGAGTATCTTGTGCAATCCACAAAACAGTTGCTTTCCTTATTCTTAGGCATGTCTGTTGTGGAAATGGCTATTACTATACACAATTTATGACAGTTATTATGCTTATGCAGCCTCGTATTTTAAAGCAATTTTGTTTTACATCAATTTCTTAAACTTCAACTCCACTAAAAATAAAAAGCCCAAACAAATATGTACACTAGACGGCTAAATACTTAAATTTCCTTTCTGTTTAAAATAATGCTTTATAGCAAATGCAATTTCTCTACCAATGTTTTCAGAAATTATATTAGAGTGGGTATGTCCTTTATAATTTATTTTAAATGAATTTTCACATAACATGGAAAGTGAACTGAAACCTTCAGATATGACTATTTCTGGACACCAGCTGCCTTTTATGCTGATATTCTGACTTACAACAACCTTGACTCAATACCAGTAGTGTGTCAGACACAAGGTTCACTGTGATGTCCAAGACACTAGCAGGATTGTTGTCCCTGAGTTTTGGAAAACTTGGAAAATATCCTGTTCCAAACTGTGAAAACATCGCCTCTTTCTCTCTGTAACAGAAATAATGTGAATTTCTGTTTTGCAAGGATGATTCCTGTAAGGGTCAAATGAAGTAGCACGGGAAAGTGCTTTGAGCTCACTATTTAACAAGGCCATGCTGCTATTATTTTTCCAAATCACGTTTCAGATCTAAGGATGGACTACTTCAGTAACTCTGTTTTTCCATTGATTTTGCAAAACGTCATTTTATTGGAGTTGCACTATTTCATTTTCTAGAGGATGCTTGATATGGAACACGTGCGAAATACACAAAGCGCAATAGTACAAGAAACCCTCTGCCTTCCAGTAATGCCATTCCCAGTTCATTATTGCTAACACCTTGAGGAGTGTTTCAGCTGTGTCTCATTGATGAATTCTCACCTAAGGACAAGAGCGACTTAAGGTGCGTGAACCTCGGACTCCAGCCCCAAGCCCTTTGCCCGCTGCTGGTGCTAACAGACGGAAATGAGAGGAAGATCAGAGATCTCAAAAACCCAGAAGCCGCAGGCGCCTTAATCCCGAAACCTCCTTGTAAGTGGCGTTAACTGGTTAAGAAGCTCGCTGGCATTGTGAGCTCAGGGAAGGTTTCTGGGCACTGCTTACTGGCGCGCTCCTTCAGTCCGCATCGAGCAAACCATTACGCATTTATAACTGGGGCAGCGTTTCCACACTCTTCACAGACACGTCGTGCAGGATCAGGTGAAGGACACCTGCCTGGGACACTTCAGCCGCTGTCTCCCCGCGATTCGATCTCACCTCCCGCCGAGTACACGGGTTCAACTATTGGCCGACTAGATTTCTCCTCGCCCCAGCCCTGCCCCCTCGCGGCCCTCAAGAGCAGCGGGAATAAATGATCGGCTCCTGGCCAGGGCTCACCCGAGTGACCAGAGCGCAGCCCAGGGCCCGGAGCGCGCGGGGCGAGCTCTGGGCACCCCTCACTCTCCCCGAGCCGCCTCCAGCGCCGGGGCCAGCGCGCCCTCCGGACACGGAGCAGAGGTGCCCAGCAATCCCGGGCAAGAGCTCGCCTCGCTGGTGACATCACTCGCCAAGATACTCCCTTCTCTTCCTCGCCTGCCTTCGGGAGACGTCTGTCCGCCGCTGGAGAGGACTCGTCTCGGTCTGGGGAAGCAGCCGGCTAACCAGGAGCTTCAGGACCGGAGTAGGCGAGAGAAAGCGGTGGTAGCGAGGGAAGGAGGCCCCCGGCAGGCGACAGCATGAAATTCAGCGCAGCGCACTTCTTGCTGCCTCTTCTGCCAGCGCTGGTCTTCAGTACCAGGTGAGAACTAGAGGGTGAGTGATCTGAGCAGGGGCGCGGCAGGTGTGAGGTGGGGGTCAAAGACTCTTCAGCAGTTTGCATCTCCCGCCTAAGTAAGAGAACTCCGGGATTCGGGACTCCGAAATCCTTCAGCAGACCGGAATCCTTTTCCACCATCGCAGTCCTTCAGGGAAAGTCTCAGAACTGTTCCAAGTGAGGGAATACAGAGCTCTCTTCAGAGGCACAAAAGAGCATTTACCCCTGCTGCAGTAGTAGGAGTGAACAGAAGCCATGCAGTAATAATGCAAATCAAGAAAGGAAATTAGGGGAAGGGCTCCTCACCCGATAGTGTCTTTCCTGCTCCACCAAGTGCACCTGCTTTTAACATACAGGAAGCCAGGAAAAAAAAAAAAGTGTACTCCCTGATGATGCCAGTAAGTGTGCAAAAGTTCCTGGACTCTTGAAAAGTCCTGATTAGCATCGTGGGTAGGCTTAGGGGCGGGTGTCTCTATCTGCCTGTTGGAGTGTAGAAGCAAAGAAGGCGGTCAAAAGTTAGAAAACACTTTCAGAGTGCTGATGCAGAGAAACAACGAAGTATTGTGCTCTATCCACTGGCCGCAGATGGGACTTTAAGCCCCAGGACAGAGGAGCTATTTTTAGTGGAAATTTAAAAGGCAGTGGTTGAGAGCAGCTTTGTGACTCCCCACTGTTGATCAATTCCCAAAGTTGGTGATGGGTATGCTTTCTTTCCCTACCAGAGAAGCACAAAGGTGGACTGTTTCAGTGCCCAGCGCTGTCTCCTTTCTGCATGCTCCTAGCATCGTGTTGGCAGCAATCTCATTCACTTAGCTATTGTAAAATAAAATAACCCACAAAGGGTGACGATTCTTTCAAACCTGTATGAATAGAAACATTTTCCGACCCTTCATGTGATAGAAAATAAAAGGGGAGTTATAATAAGAGTGGATCTAATTTTGAAACTGAAAATAAGGAAGAGAACGACTGCACTCTTAAAATATCAAGAGAGGAAAATTGTTGATGTAATTTCTAATCTGTACCACCTCTTTTGTACTCGTATAATAAAACTTTGCTTGTGGTGTGGGGGCTATTTTATTTGGCTCCACAAGCTGGTGAGTTTAGCCTTTCCCTACACAAAGCCAGATTACTTTCCCAGGGCTAAGTAGCAATTTAAGTTTTATTGTTTATTTCCTCTATGGTTTTGTTGTCACATCAATTCACAAACCTCAGACCGTTTTGCAGATCACTTTGTTTCCTAGTGTGATAACTTGCTGCAAATACAGAGCTTATTTTTAATATTTCTAGTTATCTCTGAAAAGCTTAATGCCAATGTTGCATTATGGTTATTTGGATTCTTGCAGTACACTCCTAGGTTTGGTTTAGGGAAAGAGATTTCTGAAAGTTTCAACTCCAGCAGATGCTGGTCAACATAGTCATGGAAATAATGCACAGTGATTTTAAAGACAGCGAGCATCTTTAAAGGTTTGAAATGCACATTTGGTTTTTAAGGATGCTATCTAGTTAAGTAACTGAAAAATCTTTATAGGATGTAATTTCAAAAGTTTTTTTCTCTTGGTTATATAATATGACCACAAAGTGCCACCATCTTTTCCTTGAATTAAAGTGGTAATTTTTTAAAGACTATTTGCTTTTTCAATATAGTTAGAACATTTATTCCAATAAGAATCAGAATAGTCACAGTACAACTTAGCTATGAAACAACTACAATGTTGTTTGTGAAATTATTCCTGGTTTTTATGATTTTTGAAACCCCACATTACGTTTGACCAAAATGAAACCTTCACATTTAGGATCATAACTTGTTCATGCGATTGCTCTGTCGCTCTTTAGTTTTTACTAGGTGCTCACAATTCCTTGTGAGAGTGAACAAATCTGAAAATGTATGTTATACTATACATATGCTGTTTTAAAAGAAGAGAGTGTTTTGAAGAACTTTTACAGAAGTTCATTCTCTTCATAGTATTTAATGGTTTATAGGCATGTGGTTAATGTATAGATTGAAGCCTGAAGGGAACCATTTTGTTAGAACTGCTGTGTTAGTATGGATGATCTTACTGTCTTGCCGACAAAAGTTGTGTGGCTTAGCCATGGCCACGTGTGACAGTGAGTTTTCTAGCCAATGACTTCTTTTAGCTTAGTTTCTTAGTGATCGTAAATGACTCATATGCACAGGAAGCAAATTGTGTGCTAAAATACAATGGATGTATCAGCAGAGTGGTAATTGCTGGTTATCACAAGACTCTAAGTAATGTTCCTGCCTATTATTGTCAAGTTCTTTCTAAAGCGTGGGGAAAGTGCAACCGAGATACATAATGCAAAGCTGTGTTTGGTCCATTTTCTTTCTCTAAGTTTAGCTCAATATGCATGCAGTTCCTTTTTAGTTCAGTTCTGCTTTATGTAAATGACTGTTTTGAAGCAAATTAATACTGTTAGAGAAAGATAGTGACTATCAGATAGTTTTGTATCCATGGGGATCACAACAGAGAAACAATTGTGCTATTTTTTTTTTTCAGAATACAGACTTTATTTTACCTTTTAAAAATAATTGTTTTATGATATAGTTCCATAGACCCTGTGATTTCCACCCCCCACATGATTTTCCCTATACATTACAATAGTAGAGTCCTTCATAAATGGTCATAAGTTCATCATTTGCCTCTTTAAGTTTGTTTTGACATTGTATGTATGCACAATGGTAGTCTCTATCCACCCCCTTAAATGAAAAGCCATAAAATAAAATCAGCAACAGAGAGAAAAATAAATTTGCAAAATGAAGTTAAATACTGTGCGACTGAATGACCAATGTGTCACTGAAGAAATGACAAAGAAAATCAAAGAACTTTAAGCAAAGGATGATACTGTATGTCCTATGAGACAGTGAGGAAATTGCTAAGAAAAGAAAAAAAAATTTTGGAGAAATTAAAAAAAAAATCAAAACCCTGATCATCCTATTGAAAGGGGTATTGATCTTATAATTTTACTTGAAGGTTGCCTTATATCAAAGAGAACACATGATCATTGTCCTTTTGGGATTGATCTATTTTACTGAGCGTAATGCTCTGTAGTTGGGGCCATCTGGTTGCAAATTGTCAAATACTGTTCAGTCATTCAGAGAAAAAAATCCTACAGAGTAGATGTAGCATGGCTTCTTTATCCACTCTTCGGACTGGAATCTGGGTTGTTTCGATGTCTTCACTATTGTAGATGGTGCTGTTGTGATATAGGATTACAGATCTTTCTCATATGCAGATTGCATTTCCTTTGATATATTCCCAGAAGTGGGATAGCCGGATCATACACCAAATCCATTTTCTGTTTCCCTAGCAGTCTCCAAACTGGCTATAATAACCTATGCTCCTCGGGGGAATGTCAATGCGGTTTCCATTTGTATTTCCCTGACAATTAGGGAACCTGAGCATTTTTTCACATGTGTGTTTGCCATTTGAATTTGTTCTTTTGAAATAGATCTGTTCATTCACTTCACCCATTTCCTCACAAGGTTGTTTCTTTCTCTCTCTGAGTTCTGGAAGTATCCTATGGTTGTTTAGTTTGCCAAGATTTTCTTACATTTTGCTGGTTGCTTCTTCACTTAGTTTATGTTTTCCTTTGCTGCATAGAAGTCCCATTTGTTTATTTTGACTTAGACTACCTGCGCTTTTGGTGAATTTTCTAGGAAGACTTTCCCAAATCCTCTATCTTGGAGAGTACTTCCTGTGTTTCCCTCTATTAGTTGGATGGTTTCTTGGAGCAGATTTAGGTCCTCAATCCATTTAGAGCTGATTTTAGTATAAAAAGATAAGTACAAGTTTTGTTTTTTTTACCACTGCTGGCTGCTATCCAATTGTCCCAAGTACATTTGTTGAAGAAATGAGGCTTTTTCTCTGGATTGTTTTCAGTTGTCTTCTCAAAGGTTAGTTGGCTGTGTGGGAGCAGGCTCCCATTTGGGGTTTTATTCTGTCCCATTGATCCTCTGATTCTGTACCGGGATCAGACTGTTTTGAGTTGTACTGCCCTGTAGTATGTCTTGAGGTCTGGAATTGTGATTTTTGTTTTTCAGGATAGTTTAGGCTATTCACAATCTCTAGTTTTTCCAAAAGAAGTTTTGTATAATCTTTTCTATTTCTGATGATTTCATTGAATCTGTGTATTACCTTTGGTAATATGAACATTTTAACATATTCAGGAACATAATATATTTCTCTATCATTTAATGTATCCTTCTATTTTGTTTTTTAATGTTTTGTAATTTTCATTACAGAAATCTTTCACATCTTTGGCTAGGTTGATCTCAAGGCATTTGAGATTTCTCACCTCTGTTTTAAAGAGGACTGTACTTAGAATTTCTATCTCCGCCATGGAGTTATTTGTGTATACCAGGTGCCGTTGATTTATGTTCCAAATTGTCATATGAGTTCCAATAGTCTCTTTGGTTTTCCTATGTAGATAATTATGTCATCTGTGAACAGAGATAATTTTAATTCTGCCATTTAAATAAGCAGTTTTGAATAACTAATCGTTAATTTGCTCCTCCCCTCTTTCTTCCTCACATTTTCTTAACTTTAGAAACTTAACTTTAGATGTAAAAATCACAAAAAAATCCATTAATTCTTTACTCAGATTGAACATCAACATATATCTTTTAGATTTACTTTGTTTTGCAAGAAATTTCGAAAAGTTTACCTTCAGAATAATCAAGCATTTCTCTTTGTTTCAGTCATAAATTTTAATTAAAAAGTTAAAAATTAAGTTAAAAATCATTGTTTAATTTCCTGGTATTTTATTATCTCTCTTGTTTAGCATGTGCATAAAAATTGAAGAAAGCACATATTAATGAAAGAATAATGGAACTAATAGAGAAACCCATTTTACTTGTGTAAAAATAAATGTGATCAAGGAAAGAAAAATACATGTGTTGGCTTAAAGCTTCGGTGTAGAATGGGTGTACTTTTAACAGTTTCATCTGTATAAGTATTAAATTGCTG